TACCCTCCGATCCCCCCGTCCGTAGCAGCGGAGCCCACCGCCAGGCGGGATTCCAGGGGATTCCCCGGCTCAGCCCAGCCCCGCCGGCCGCCCGGCCCCCCGCCCCTTGCCCATTTTTCCTAACTCACCGCGCTCGGCTTCTGCTTCGCCCGGAGAGGCACCCGGCTGAAGCGACAGCCGAAAGAGGAGGAGCAGGAAGCGGACCTTCTGCCAGCAGGACACCTTCCCTTGCCGCCCTGCAGGGAGCTGTCCCGTCCTGTCCCGTCCTGTCCTGTCCCGCCCCCGTTTCGTACAGCGATAACTGCGGTCCGGCTGGGACTCGCTGTTGGCTGAACAGTGGCTGCAGCTACTAGGCGCGTAAGGATTAGGGGACTAGCTGTCCACCGTTCACGCTCCCAAGGGTTGGTGTTTCCGAGCGAGGCCTCCGTCGGCTCTCGCAGGAGTCCGACCTTCGGGCGCAGGCGGCGCAGTGCGTCGCCCCAACTTTCGTGCCCAAGTGGGCTTCCAAAGAGAAGAGAGGCGTCCCATTAATCTAGGTGTGGGATCCCAGCCACCTCCACGCTCTGCAGATGGAAAAAAAACTCTCCCGAGTTGCTTTTTTAATGGACACGTTTGATTTGGTTTCAAAGGCACGGCTTTCAACCCTGCCCTCCGCCCTCCGCTGCAGCTACCAAGAGAAACGTAGGAAGCTGGTCTGTGCCAGGTCAGGCTGTTTATCTGGATCAGGGAGGGCAAACTCCCCGCCCTTTTTTTTCCATAGAGCAAGCAGTGGGAGGGCTCGCAGGTGAAAATGGGGGAGGACAACCTTTCTTCTCTTTTTGTCTCCCCTTCTTCTTCTCCATTCGGCTTGTAAAGGGAGAAAGAAGTCATGATACCTCTCAAGATCCCTCTTCAAGAATAGCAAAACTGAGGACCGTAGGAATGCATTGAACAGGGAGGGAGTCTCTGTCTATAAGAACTTAAGAGCTATCCTAGGTTAAATCTGTCAACCCGGTCTAGTTTATCGTGTCATTTGATACAGTGGCCAATCGGATGCCCCTAAGAAGTCCAAAGCCCATCACTTGAGATAGGCATTCAGGTGGATCCTGCCTCTGACCCTGGAAGAAGCATCATCATGATTAGGTGCCATTTATAATCGTATCTTCTATGAATATACAGTATTACCATTTTAAAACTGCTGTATAGAAAAAGGATGCCATATGGCCAGGCTGACAGCCAGCAACTAGAGAACCAGTTTGTATGCCAGCTTAAATTTATCATACTTTTCCATTTAGAAATATGGTTTCACTTTGTTTTATTTAAAGCAAGGTAAAAATCAGTGTTATTTTTTTAATGCACTTTTTAGAATGAAAAAAGCCTCTGTTGAAATAGGTCAATCTATATTAAAAAGAGGAAATGCTTGGCACCAAGCCTTCTTATATATAGATCTGTAGATATGCTCAGATATGCAGTAAGGGCCATTGAAGTGTTAACTGTTATTAGGATATTGTTTTAATGTAAATTAATGATGTTTGTATGGGTTCGCTGATTATATTGTTGATGTTTTTATTTCTGTAAACCACTGCAAGTCACAGTATCATAGTGGTTTAAAAATGAATGAATGAATGAATGAATGAATGAATAAATAAATAAATAAATAAATGAGTGTGAATATGTCATGGAATCCAAGCCCAAAATGGACTTTTCTGATGCAAAGGAGTAAGTGCCTGAAACAGATAATTTTAATGTCCACGGGAAAATTGTGCACACCTGAAAGCAATACGGACACAATCGAGTATAGCATATGCAAGAGGTGCCTTGATGGATCAGGCAAATTGTCTTTAAAAATTTCCCTTTGAATTCAATGGACACAAGGACCCATTCAAGTAGCTATTTACTTTATTCCACTCAAAAGCTAATTGTTATGTCTCAGCCACAAAAACAATTTCTAAATAAAAAAGTCAGGCAAAATGTCCTAGAGTAACAATATATTCACTTGCAAAATTGGTGAATTACATCATTGTCATAGCTTGGGCTATATTTGGTTCCCAGTGAAAACATATGGACCATTTTGGAGCAAGAACACTGGCAGTTCCAGTGTAAGATTCTTAATTATTTGTTTGCTCTAAATATGATACCTTCTGTTTCATCCATTAGTGCTCAGCAGTTTAGGAAATGCTTACTGTACTGTTAGTTATCATATGACATGACTGGTTCTGAAACAGTGATAGGTCTTGCATGTAGAAATCTAAAGTCAACATATGCCACAAAGATAGCTGCTAAAAGCCTTTCATAGTATTGTGAATATATACACAGAGAGAGAGAGAGAGAGAAGAAACAGTACCTTTTAAAAAATGATGGTCATGATTACTTGGTAAAGAACCTGCAGATCAATATGAACTAATCCCCACGTCATTATGAAAATTTATCTTTCTGCTAGAACAATGCAGTTTGAAATACTTCTGTAGAAGGAGCTTTGTGATAATGCTGCTGCGCCAATGATCAGCCTGTAATCTCAACTGGTGATAGCACACGGTTTGCCATATGGGAGGCCTAAATACAGAAATATTTATTCCCCAAACCAGTCAAGGTACCATAGAATCTTAACGTATTAGCATATTTATAAACCTTAATGAAATTTGAAATCTTGTACTAACTGGTTAAGATTTTTTAAATGGTCTTAAGAATACAAATTGTATGCATGTGGGTGATATTTTCCGTAGGCACATTAGGGATAATCATATCTTCTATATGTTATTTGTGTGTGTATTTGGTTTTACTATATTTTTATACTGTTTTTATTGTATTTTAATTAGTATTTATTTGTTGTTTTATTGTGAACCACCCAGAGTCACTTCCTCGTGAGATGGGCAGTACCTAAATTCGAAATAAAAATAAATAAATAAAATAAATAAACAAATTCTGTCCCTAAGTTAACATATGCCACGAAGATAGCTGTTAAAAGCCTTTCATAGTATTGTAAATATACTATGATCACAATTTAATTTATAAAAGAAAATAACTCAGATTATAACTATTGATATTTTAAGAACTTCATTTAGGCCAGCTAGCATTTAATCTGCACAGAAAATAATATGTCAAATTACATGGGATGTTTTCTTAAATATACTCAGCAAAGAACAAAGAAGCATCTTTACCAATTCCAAAGAACTGAGGAGGGGGGGAATGTTGCATTGAAAAGTGGCTGAAATCACCCAAATCCAAACAAGCCACATTATGGCCTCGTGTGAATCATCCATTGGTTCCTGTACTGGATTGTTTCCCATGTTATATTTATTTCCTGGTTAAAGTAGGGCTTATCAGATCTGGGCACAGAGCTAGAGTATTCTGTCTCCTTGTTGCTGTCCCCTGCTCACCCGGATTTTTGCATCCCAGATTTGGTAGCTGTCACACCAATAAACTACAGTATATATCAGTGTATCTCAGCCTTGGCAACTTCAAGATATGTGGACTTCAACTCCCAGAATTCTTCAGCCAGCCATGCTGGCTGGGGGATTCTGGGAGTTGAAGTCCACATATCTTAAAGTCGCCAAGGTTGCAAAACACTGGTTTATATCATGCTTAACAAACCATGCTGCAAATCACATTTGGCTTAGCTTCGACTACAACAACCACTGGCTTCTTGGATGAGCAATCGGGTTCTAGTCAGAGGCATAATTTGCCCATGAAAGTAAAAGTACAGCCGATTTTAAAATTAGTATTTCTTGTTCCAGCTCAGACGCACCTCCCCGGGAAAGCGTAGCCAAGAACACAGGCGAACCGCGCGGCCTACTATACAGTATGCTGGAAGCCCAGCCAAACTGGGCGGAGGCCTGCAAAGCTAGACAGATATTTCCGCGTCGGTAGAAAACATGCGGGGATGTTGCAGACAGTTGGGGCGATGGACTTTTGGTTTGATTACGCAGCTGGCTGCAAGAAGACTAAGCGACTGCGGTGGGCGAGGGATAAGCCGCCTGGCATGGAGCCACCGCGAGAGCGTCCTGCAGCGATTTGAATCGGGGGCAGGCGTCGGTCCCTTCTGCCGTTCGGGCTGTAAGTGCTACGGCTGGGTTGGGAAAATCGGGGAGACGCGCAGCTGAAGGGCGTTCCCTCCTTTCCTGGTTGCTAAGGGCAATGCGAAGCGATGGGAAATGCTTTGGCTTCGTTGTACCCCGATCCTGAACAAATACTGAGCTTTTAATAGCAACTTCATCGATGGACTGGGACTGAGGTCCCGCGTAGCTTCTTCGGAAGTGTCCACCGGATTCCGGGTTGAAATCACCCTCTGGGGGAGATGGGCGGCATATAAATGTAATTAATTAATTCATCCATCCATCCATCCATCCCAATTTATGTTAT